AGTCAAAGCGCTTGTAAACGACATCACCGCATCAGCATCAGTCGCCTCGTAATCCTCGTCCTCATATGCATCGTCTGTGCCATCGTGGTCCATGGAGACGCTGTTGTCTCCTATCGAACACAGTTTTGGTGGCTCTGCACCGAGACGAACACTTCCTCCCGTTGAACAGCTGTCCGCAGTGGGATAGATATGCGGTGAGGGATGACTGACAGCTGGGCTCGTCTTCACATCGCTGGCGCGCTTCGGTGCAACCGATCCCATCGGCATCACCCGGATGCGTCCGCGGCAGACAGGGCTCGACGGCTCGTTTGGCCCGCAGGCACTCGGGGTCGATCCCGCAGTCACAGGTCTCTAGAAACGGGCCGTTTGTGGTCTGGTTAAGGCGGATAAGCGCGCTGATGCAATGGCTTGGACACTGGCGTCTGCCTCCGCGGATGATCCCATCGCATGCCGTCAAATACTGGTTATATGCAAGCTCACAATCGCGTTCTTCATGACATCGCATCAGCGCCTGCCAGCAAACCATCTGCGCATCCAGCATCATCGCAAGCGAGAGAAATGCGACGGGAACGATGCTGCTCTCCATTTTGCCTGCGAACTCAGATTAGGTGCATGCTTGCATCAATCCGTGAAAGCACAACATGGTGCGTCAGCATGCATTTACTCCACAATGAAGCTTTTCAGACTGAAAGTTCAGCAGTTATCCGTGCGATCAGCTCAGTTTGCTGCTATCCGGTTGCATCCTGAGTGCATTTCAAATGTTTATCCTCTTAATGCGTAAGAATCCTTCTGCGTTTGGGGTTTGCATGTTATTTGGAGTGCGTTTTCTGCTCTCGGAGTCCTGTTGCATGCTGCATGTCTTTGTCCCTCCGGCTCTTTCATTTACGCACGAAGACCCCTCCTCCAAAACTCCCTCCGCTCCTCTCTTCATTACGCATTCTGTTGTTCTATTGGTCGCGAACGGGGGATTGCATAGTAACGCCGTTTTTGGCAAAGCTCGCCTCCTGTACAGGATAAATAAAATGTTTATATATTTCATGAAGCCGGCGAGCTGTGTGGTCTCTGCATTAGATTACAAAACCCCATCAGCGCAAGAGAGAGAGACGCATTCCTCTGCTGGGAGCTCAACATCTGCAAACCGCTTCTTCAATTTAAAGCGCAGAAAAACAAATCTGTTTCTCTTTAGCGCGAACCCAAGAACAAGCCCCTGTATAAACCGGTGGGTTCTGAGCCCCCGTCGCTCTCGGCCTCCTTTGGGGTGTTTTAATCGCGCCCTGATGGAAAAGAAAAGGGCCACAAAAGTGTTTTCTGGACCGTTTCACCCTCTTTGTGTCCGACTGGCCATGCAGCAGCCCGGAGGCCCATCAATAGAGAGACTTTCCACAACAATATATTTTACTGCCCTGTCCTTTCATAGCGCACTTGAGATCAGCGATTCTCTGCTATTCAGATGGAAACGGCTCTGATTGGAGTGGAAAAAATATGCAAAACCGCAACCATCCACAGGGTCTGGTAGACCGGGGCTAGTTGTCACACAAAGTAAAATCTCAATATTAAAATATTCTTGTAAAGATACAACATATCAGAATCAGTGAGGTGAAATACACTAAATCACTTATCACGGGTAGTTGGCATGACATGATAAACTGCATCTAAAATGGTTTTAAAAACATCTATTTCTAATTGTATGAATGCTATGCATGCATTTTTAATGAGAATGCATGCTAATTAAATTGTCATTTGACCCTCTAACACTAGCACGCTCTAGTCTATCTAAAAAAACTAAACAAAAAAACCTTGCTGTTAGTCTAAATGAGACTTATCATAGCACTTGCGTATCATTGCTCTGTTGTTGGTTTTGATTGCTTCTATTGTCCTCATTTGGATAAAAGCGTCTGCTAAATGACTAAATGTAATATAATGCATGACTGTAGAACAGCTAAAAAGTGATTCAAATGGTTAAACACCTTAAGGCAAGACGCCCCAGGTGAGTAGGTTAAAAAAACTGATAAAACAGCCTTTAATTGTAATTGAAATCTACAAAGAGATAAATAGATAAAATTACAGCTAAATAGAAGTCTATTTTGAATGCTTTCTTTCCACTAAACACGTTACGAAAAGCCAAATAAACCAAAACACCATCAATGCATGAAAAAAATGTTTGCCTTAATGAAATGGCATTTACAAAATGCTTATTTGTTATGTCAACTACCCACCTATATCACGCTTCTTCATGAAAGCGGACAGTGTGTTAGTGAAGCGTTTGACAGTGTCTCCATCTAGCGGTCAGAAACGGTACTGCGCTGTGAAAACATCACACAAAGGCTGAAATTACACCACAATCTTTGTACAAATATATTTATTACAGTTGCAACAGTCAAAAATCAGCAAGGTCTGGACATTACAGAAGAATAATTACATAAATGCATTACATTGGTAATTACATCACTTATGCAGTCCAGAGCGGAAACAACTATCAAGGGCATAAGTAAAACAAACGACAAAAAACTTAATAAAGACAAAAAATATATAATAATCTAACGGGTTGAATAAAATTAACAGGAAAGTCAGTTTAACCCTTCACATTTATTGGCTATCAGCTCTGTCCTGTAGATCAGAGATGGAAATATTGCTTTATGTTTACAGCTTATATTCAAAAACCAAATCCCTGCATGGCTTCACTCAGAAGACAACGGACACAGAATCAGAATAAAACGCTTCATCCAGACGCTCACCTCAGCAGCACAGCATTTCAAATCATTATTTTGAGTCTCCAAAGAGGGAACAACCAGAAAGAAAAAGGTCGACATCTGCACCACGACGACACCAAACCACCTGCACAAAACGGCACCACTCAATGGAAGGTCAAAGGGCAAGGGTCAAATGTGACGGTGTTAGTGCGGATGTTTAGGGGAATCTGGGTTCTACCTCCGTTCCTGCTCCCATAAGCCCTTCAAGACTATTGCTAATAAACACCTTCAGGTCTGATTTGGATGGGTCAATCTCCAAAAACACGTCACATTTCACCCCAAAGTCAAAATGACCAAGAAATTACACTTGCGTAATGGATATATTTTAGGACCATTAAAGGGACAGTTCAACCAAAAATCGTTAAAATCGTGTCATCATTTACTCACCCTCACATCGTTCCAAACCTGTATGAATATCTTTAATCTGTTGAACACAAAAGAAGATATTTTGAAGAATGATGGTAACCAATCATTCGCCGGTAGCCATTGACTTACATAGGGCCCTTAACGCAGACGGAATCGTGGAATCCAGTCATAAAAACGTAATTTACTGTGTAACGGAATGTCACGGAATTTGCCAAATTTGGATGGATACATCAAAAGTAGGTACATCAAAAGAAACTTAAAGGTCTTCACAGCAACCCGTCAAAATAAGAGTTCGGTTGACAGAAATATTACTTAATGTAAAGCTAGTACTACTACTAATAAAATTATTAAAGGAATATTTAGCAGAAAAATTATTTACCAGAATTTATTTAGCAGAAAAATATAAATACACAACACAAAACACACAACATAAAAATAAAATAATAATATTTTTTAATAAAATCAAGTAATTAGAGATGCTTTTGATTATTAATATTTGATGAAACCTTTAAAATGGAATCCAGAAAATTAATGGAAAACAGAAATTGGTAAAAATAAAACAGAATTTGAGAAAGAATAAAACATTTCATAGGGCCTTAAAATGTAATTTTTGTAAAACGTTTAATAAATTGCTGTTTAATATTGTAAGTTTAAATTAATTAGACATTCTTTTTGATGAATAAAATTTAATTTAACCATTAAAATAGAGTCTAGAAAAATAAAAAAATGGAATCCAGAAATTTTTTAATGAAAAAACGAATTTGGGAAAAACTAAAACAAGATTTCATAGGGCTCTACTTGCATAGTATTTTTTTCCACTCTATGGAAGTCAATGGGTACCGTCAACTGTTTGCTTACCAACATTCTTCAAAGGATGAAATCATCTGTGTTCAACAGAATAATGCTGGTAAGCAAACAGTTGACGGTACCCATTGACTTCCATAGAGTGGAAAAAAAATACTATGGAAGTCAGTGGGTACCATCAACTGTTTGCTTACCAACATTCTTCAAAATATATTTTTTTGCGTTAAACAGAATAATGTTGGTAAGCAAACAGTTGATGGTACCCACTGACTTCCATAGTATTTTTTTTCCCATACTATGGAAGTCAATGGGTACCGTCAAATATTTGCTTACCAACATTCTTCAAAATATCTTTTTTTGTGTTAAACAGAATAATGTTGATAAGTAAACAGTTGATGGTGCCCACTGACTTCCAAAGTATTTTCTTCCATACTATGGAAGTCAATGGGTACCGGAAACCGTTTGCTCACCAACATTTTTCAAAATATCATCATCTGTGTTCAACAGAATAATGTTGATAAGCAAACAGTTGATGGTACCCATTGACTTCCATAGTACTTTTTTCCATACTATGGAAGTCAATGGGTACCAGAAACCGTTTGCTTACCAACAGTCTTTAAAATTAGTTTGGAACAACATGAGGGAGAATAAATAAGAGAATTTTCATTTTTGGGTGAACTATCCCTTCAAGATTAATAATTTATGCAAAATAATTTTTTTTTTTTTAATGAGGTGAAATGTGACCCGATCGTGTTTTTGTGAGATTCTCGTATAGTTGATGAAACACACGTGACATTTAAACTCCTAGAACGATATCAGCATCATGAAACAAACTGCCCTACACGTCACACTGGATATATGAATATGGATGTTTGTCATTAGACACGGCAGTGTGCGTGTGCGAGTGTGTGCGTGAGTGAGTGTGCGTGCGTGTGTGTGTAAGTGTGTGCGTGAGTGAGTGTGTGTGTGCATGTGTGTGTGTTTGTGTGTGTGTGTGTGTGAGTGTGTGCGTGTGCGTGAGTGTGTGTGTGTGTGTGAGTGCGTGCGTGAGTGTGTGTGTGTGTGAGTGTGTGTGTGCGTGTGTGAGTGTGTGCTTGTGTGTGTGTGTGAGAGTGTGTGTGTGTGTGTGTGAGTGTGTGTGGAGGAGATACAGGGATGAGGAGAGAAGAAACGCTTCCAGGTGTGTAGATGCAGTGAGATCACATGACGCAGCACTTCTCCGCCGAGTTCTTCAGATCCTCCAGCGTGGCCTGAGCTTTGCCCTTCAGGTGGCCCATGTCCACGTTCTGGATGTTGGTCAGGTGACCCAGAACAGACTGCTTCTGTTCCTCCTCCTGGTTGTCTTCGGCGATCATCTTGGCCAGTTCAGTGGGGAGCTCGACGTCGTCTGCTGCCGCCTGGATCTGAGTCTCATCCAGCTCATTCTGAGATACAGAAAACCAAGGAAAAGGGGAATAATCAATGACATCTGTGACCCTGCAGCACAAAAGCAGTGTTAAGTCGCTGGGGTATATTTGCAGCAATAGCCAACAATACATTGTATGGGTCAAAATTATCAATTTTTCTTTTATGTCAAAAATCATTAGGATATTAAGTAAAGATCATGTTCCATGAAGATATTTAATAAATTTCCTACTGTAAATATATCAAAACTTAATTTTTTATTAGTAACATGCATTGCTAAGAACTTAATTTGGACAACTTTAAAGACGATTTTCTCAATATTTGTCAAATATGTGTCAAACTTCACCCAGAAATCAAAAGAACAATAGATTACATTAAGAAAAGGAAGCCTGCTGCTGTAAGCGTTTTTACATTTACATTTCGCTGATTATTTTTTATTTCATTAATTAATTTTTCATGCATTTTTTATTTAATAAAACATAAAATATCACTATCTGACAGATTTCAGTGAAACAGGTGTCATGAGAAATTACAGAAAAAATATACAGTCTGCTCTTGCAAAACCAGAAACACTCTTTGCATGATTTTCTGTGTTTGCTGTCATGTTGTTGGCAAAATGGCAGAAGTGATCAAAAATGGAAAACACCTTTGGGATTCTTGTGTTGTGACATTATTTTTAAGGTGATGCACATTTTCATGCCATTTTCATTATAGTCATCATCTTGTATTGTGGATACAATTATTATTTAAATTAAAATCAGCATAAATTAAAATAAAAATCAGCATCAGTTCATTACATCAATTACTATGCATGCACATTTCACAATTAAAATAACATATTAATTTTTTTTGCATTATTATGATGACAGTTTTCTACTGAATACTGGAAAATTGGTTGTTAATTATGATTTAAAGCCAACACATTAAATACAGTATATAAAATACTAAAATAGTGTATGAACATTTTAAAATGTAAATAATATTTCATTATTTTTTTGCATTACAGTAATTTTTTTTGTCTCATCACAGTACACTACTGAGTATTAGAAAATAGGTTATTATGATTTTTAAAAAATCATACTTTAGATCAAAATCAACAAATTAAAAAATACTAAAATAATGTATAAACATTAAAAAATGTAAATAATACTTAATTTCTTTGCATTGATATGTATTGATGTGATGATAATTTTTTTTCTCACAGTACAATACATAATTTTGGGGAATGGGTTAAATTATTATTTAAATTAAAATCAACATGAATTTGATGCATCAAATATTACCATGATGCATAATCATTTTACAATTATTTTTTTTGCATTGCAGTAATTCAAATTAGTTTTTTTTTTATTATAGTACACTACTGAGTTTTGGGGAATGGGTTATTAGTAATGCTAAAAACAATTATTATTTGAATTAAAATCAACGAATTAAATTAAGTACATCACTTATTACCATGACGTATGATCATTTATAATTAAAGTAATATTTCAGTAAAAATATTCAGTTTTTCTCATTACAGAACACTACTGAGTATTGGAAAATGGCTTATTAATTGTGATAAAAATAATATTACAATGCAATAAAAAA